AATTTCTCCCAATTTACAATTAAGTACTAACACTATTTTCTCATATCTCAGAACTTCTCACTTAACCCCCTGGCCTCTCCCTAATTCACCAGCGCGTACCCCCAGCGACCTAGTGCATGGCGGTGCGGTGGCCGGTGACATAGCGCGGCTGCGCTGGCCACCAGGGACCTACGACCGACCACCTAACAGGGCGATCACCATCTCCGACCCGAGTGGCTAAGCGGTGGTGCGGGGTGACATGACTGACTGGGGAAGGCTACAGCGGCGTGCGGCCATCCACGATGGCGGTGTAGCTGCACCGGCGATCTAGAGCACCTAAGAACCTAACTGGCTAGCAAGGGAGCATCAGTAGACTACCGTGGACCTAGCTGAGGTGACGGTTGGGGTGGAGGATGGTGGGGGAGGGCTGGCCATGGGTGGCCGAGCCGTGCGGCGGTGCACCGTGGCGGCACGGTCATATCAGCGACAACGGGGAGGCGGTAGCGGTTCCACTAACGTGCGCAAGGTGGAGAGGGAGGCAAGGCGAAGCTAGTGGTGCAAGTGAATTGGCTCAGGAGGGCCGGTAGGAGGGCTGCCCATATCCATGACCGGACGCGGCCTTATCAGCGCGGCGACGGGCAAAACTCCAAATTGGAGCTTGGTCGTGCTTGCTTCAAGGCTGGGTGGGGGTCAGGGGTTAGGTGGCTTAATGGTGAATCCAGGGACATGATGAATCAAGCGATGGTGACTCAACCACACCGAATTAAGCGGGCGGGGTCGGCCGGTCGTGGTGGCATAGAGGGAGGGGCAAGTCTGGCTCGGCTCATCCTCTCCTTGGCAGCAAGTGGCCAGCCGGGCCCGAGGCGGCGTCTGTGCAACCGCTACGTGACAACATTGCCAGACCACGTGCGCATGCTTGGAGGCAGGTGGGGACGCGGTATGCGCAACCGTAGCGCCTTTAAGGCGAGCAACGGCGTGAGGCAGCCGAGACAGCCCACGTGCGTGCGAGGACAAGGCGAGCGGCAGTGCAGCACAGCGTCACAATTGCATTGGTAGTGGCAACACGAGGTAGGGCAGCAGTGATAACGCTACGGCGAGGTGATGGCGTCGACAGCGGCTTGGTCGTGGCGCGGGGCGGGGCAGACGGAAGCAGCGGCGGCTCCACGCGGCGGGGCCAGCGGCGGCCGGGCCATAGCCAGGCCAGAGGCAGCCATGGCCGGCCATGCGCAGCAGCGCGTGCACGTGCGACTACTGCAGTGACGCCGAGCGCCCGAGCCTGGTGACCGCGTCCACCCGGCGAACCAGCCCGAGAACGTGCCGTGCATGAATTTTAAAGTGTCGATAGCAACTAAACAATCGAGGTTGACACTAAACCGCCTTCACTATGCTAAAGAGGTCCTATAAGGCTACCAATCTGAGCTAAAACACAACACCACCTCTTAACCCAATCTCTCAAAATAATTTGTTAAACATAGCAATGTCTATCTGATTATAAACTTGGAAATTTTGTAAGTTCTTGAGCTGAACTTGATTTCAATTTGCAACTCCTAGGCTAGTAGAAATATTAGTTAGTAATATCATTTTTCAACAGCAAGTATTTCACTGTCATCTACAAAGTTCAAATTCCAAACTTTATTTGAGCGCCACATATATGTTCTATATCATTTTTGTTCAATAAAAATTAGTTTTAAACCCTACTTGATATACATGAGCTATTGAATCCACTTTCGTTTAACATTTTTATTAGTTATTTTAGGTTACAAGAAATTGATCGACACACTTTATCACATGCACTAACACATAAACATGATGCTCATGACATGTTTTAGTAAATGATTTAGGATGTAACACCGATGGTGTTACAGCAAGCTAGCGACGAGTTTCTCGCTAGTGATCAGTATTTTTATGTTTCTTTCTCCTCCACGTCACAGAACAGTTAGCTCTGAGCTATCTGTTGGGGACACCCTTAGCGCCATGAGATCTATGGACTGTAGGGTCACCGCGGAACCTGGCTACGAGGGATGGGATCACATTCGCCATGAGCCTCGAGACGAGCAGGCAATGGGACCGGCGAAGCGCGCACCGCGGCTAGGAGGGAAACGTGGCTGAGGAAAAGAAGGGGATCTGGCAGGGAAGGAAAGGGGTTGAGGGAATAGACGGCGACAATGATGCCGTTGACGGCGGTGAACAGGAAGAGTCTGAGAGCGCGTGGAAGGGCTACATGCCTTTTTGCAAATCTTTTGCATTTATTAATGCAATCTTTTTTGGAGCGGCTATCCGGACTGAAGCGCACGCCCGCGCTGCGCCCACCGCTCCTTCTCCCTAGATCCCCCTAACCTCTCCTCTCTCTCTTCGTGAGTCCGGATGTGACCTCCTCCGTCACACACTCCAACGGGAAACGTCGTGTCGCTACTCCTTCCCCCTAACCCACTCCTCTCTTTCTCTCTGCGCGGGGGAGACCCGAGAGCCGGGATGAGAACGAGCACACCCAGTCGCATGACACCAGTGTGCCCCATTCGCTGGCCCCTGGCTCACCGTGCCCCATTGACTCTCTGGATATACCTCTGAAACATAAAACACTTGAATACAACATACGTATGAAGGAGATGAAACATTTGGAACATATAATTGCAATATATGTGTGAAATATATGCAACATCTAAATAAAACACTTGCAACTTGCAACATAGAAACACTTAGTGCAACACAAGACTGAAACAGTTGAAACATTTGGAACATACTCTTGCAATATATGCGTAAAACATATGCAACATGCAAATCAAAACGCTTGCACCAACAGATGAAACATTTTTTAACAAAATCTTGTAACATGTCTCTGAAACACTTGCAACATCCCGATCTACTTTTAAAAGATCCATATGAAACATTTGTAACATATCTCTGAAACATCTGAAACACTTAAACACATAGCTTGCAACATGTGTTTTTATCACATCGTAATATCTCCTTGCTGCTTGGGAAAATAGATGCTCATCGGCGTGTGGAGTTCACCGGAGGCAACGGTCTGGCGGCGCTTGTAGGCAGTGGGCTAGCGGCGGCGGCTGAGTGACGCGGCAGGGAGGCAGCAGCAGCCGCGGGCCACATACACCAGGCAGGGCCGGTAGCCGCGCGCCGAGACTGGGAGAGGGCAGGCATGTGCAACACCTGGTAGGGCTAGCAGTCGAGCGCTGCATGCAGGAGCAAAGCCGAGCGAGGCATGCGGGAGTGATTTTTTTAGAAGCGGACGAGCGGATAATAAAGAGGGTCGTTGAATGAGTGAGCGGATAATAAAGAGGGTCGTGATTAATAGTTGTGATCATTCTAGGGGTGTCATGAAAATATTTGGATCGTAATTATTAATCGTCATCGAGGTTTTTGTCCAATTTCTCTTTGAAATGGAGGGATCTAATCCTAGTTTATTTAAATGATTTTTTGTCTATTAGTAAAATTATTAAGATTAAATATTTGTAATGACAACTCTCTATATGTGTTTAATTTTCTTTGAACTTATATATGTGCAACAAGTACTTTTTTATTGATATGTCCACAAATAATTTCACATCAAAAGGATATAATAAAGGGCCATTTAAATTTTTTTTGGTTAAAGAGAGAAATGCCGATCGGACAAAACAAAAAAATAAAAGAGAAAAGGCAGTGTGCTCATGATTTGTGTTTTTTTTTCCGAGGACACGACATCACGCGCTGCTCGTGGTTTATGTGGCTAGCTTATCAACTAGCCACATTTAAGCCAAAGCTAGGCGACTGATTTTGGGCTTCTTTGATGGAAGGGATTGTTTGGATGGAACCCTAGCGGGCATTGCCTGGGGCGTTGCCCTTTTCCAGCCACCATCCAAACAGCCATGTGTCTGCCTGGGCAACGAGCGGATGCCTGGCCCAATCACGTTCCGAGGACACCAACCAAACGTGTCGCGGGGAAGGTATAGGCAGAGTTTTCATTAGGCAAGTTTGGTCCAGGATTTGAACCAAACACGCCCGTATAGCTAAGCTAGTAGTGGCAACAAGATGAACAGATCGCATCTCTTTTGATTTATTCGTCACTCCTTAACAAAGGAATGGTCTGCGACACACAACGGAGATGAAACTTCACACGGTACATGTACGGTAACTACAGTGATATACCCGCAGGACATCCTGGAAAGAAATAATCCCTGCTTGTCTACCTAGTACTGCCTAGTATACATGCTACTATACTCGTAGAAATAAATAATTACACAAAAGTTAGGCACGGACTCGAGCACTGCCGTTCTGGACGGGTTGAGCTAACCACCGGTATACAATATCTAAGCTACAGAGCTATGGTGGTGGATAGTTTTAACGAGCAACTGCAATGAGATGAACAATGCAAATTGCGTCTTTGTGTATCGCATTCATTCCAAGCAGCGAAGGAATGGCTCCAGCACAAGAATCGGCCGATGGTTTTTGCGGTTGATAAGTCGATTAATATTATTTTGTTGTAAGAGAAAAACACTATACCATAACTGATAAGTTGAAGTGAACAGGGCCGAAGACAATGACTTCGTTGGATACAGTCTGTACAGAGCAGTTCTTGCACCCCACTGTCATTGTCAGTTCACATTCGGCATTCACGTCTTGGACGGGTTCAACCGTTCAAGGATGTTGTAAAAAAAACATTCAAGGATTGGGCGCCTAGTCCCTTTCCTACATGGTACTGACACAGGGACTGCTTGGTCGACATCTAAAATTTGTCATGCTAAAAATTTGACAAGCTAAAAGTTGGACAAAAACATTGACATAAATTTAGTAAGTCAAATGTGAGACTTTGATAAGTTTTAGTTACAAACCAAATATAAGTCAAAATCATAGCTTGCCAAATTATTGACATGACAAATTTTAAAAGCGATCCAAACAGGCCCGCAGCACATGCTACCCGGCCTGATAGGAGCTGCACCTGGTTGTGACGTCAGTACACGTAGTTGAGCTTGATGAGCATATATGACCCTCGCCCACACGGTTTGCTTGTTCACGCTTGCCAAGTAGCCATGGCCATGAGACACGCCTCCATTCCCATCAGATTCATCTCCTCCTTCCTTCTGGTGTTCTCCATTGCTGTCGCGAAAGAACAAAACTACCTCGCTAAAGGGTCCACCGTCTGCACCGAGGATGACACCACCACCATCCTGGTGTCACCCAATGGCACCTTCTCCTGTGGCTTCTACAAGGTGGCCACCAACGCCTTCACCTTCTCCATCTGGTTCTCCAACTCAGCTGACAAGACCATGGACTGGACGGCCAACCATGACGCTCCGGTGAACGGCAAGGGCTCCAGGCTCAAATTCGAAAAGGACGGGGGGCTGGAGCTTCTGGACTACAATGGTACCATTGTATGGAGCACTAACACAACTTCGACTCCTGCCGACCGTGCAATGCTTCTCGACAGTGACAACCTAGCTGTCATGAACCCAGATGGCCATCACCTCTCGAATAGCTTCGACTCACCAACCGACACGCTCCTGCCGTGGCAACCGATGACTTCGAGCACTAGGTTGGTATCTGCATATGCCAAGGGTTTGCCCTATTCAGGCTTCTACACATTTTACTTTGACAATACCAATGTTCTAAGTCTTATATACAATGGCCCTCGAGTTAGTAGTGTATATTGGCCTAATCCATTCTACAAACCATGGGCAAATAAAAGGAGTACTTATAACAGCAGCCACTATGGAGTTCTTGACTATAAAGGCCGATTTGTTGCTAGTGACAAGTTTGAATTTGAAGCTTCTGACCTTGGCCTAGAGGATGTCATGAGGAGGTTGACCCTTGACTATGATGGCAACCTGAGGCTTTATAGCCTAAATGCCACCAGTGGAAACTGGTCGGTCTCTTGGATGGCATTCATTCGACTCTGCGACATACATGGATTGTGCGGGGCCAACAGCCTCTGCACATACAAACCAGAGCTTGAATCATGTTCATGCCTAGAAGGCGACTGGAGCAAAGGCGGCAGGCCCAAGATAAATATCACTGCTAACAATTTTTTTTTTCATTCAGGAAGCTTCAAGGACTAGATTTCTGGGGGCATGATGGCAACTACTCTAGTAAAATATCACTATGGAAGTGCAATAAGATGTGCTCCGACGATAATTGCCGAGCTTTTGGTTATCGGCAGGGACTAGGCAATTTCTATCCTAAGGCCTTGCTTTTTAATGGCAAGAACTTTGCAGATCCATATCTAGATATCTATCTGAAAATACCCAAGGCTGTGACCTCTTCGCAGGAATCGCCTTCTAGGATAAACCATGCTTGTAGAAGTATTGAAAAAAAAGCTTATCCTACATTGCAAATGTTCAACGGTGGCAACTCCAAGTTTAGATTTGGCTATTTCCTATCTTCAGCATTGACATTGCTTGTAATTGAGGTGACACTATTCATAGTTGGGTGTTGGGTCGTTTACAAATGGGAGAGAAGACCTGAGATTACAGACCAAGGCTACACAATAATTTCCAGCCAGTTCCGACGGTTCAGTTACAAGGAGATACAGAAGGCAACGAAGTGTTTCCAGGAAGAGCTTGGAAGTGGAGGATCAGGGGCAGTTTACAAGGGGGTGCTTGGTGACAAAAGGATTGTCGCAGTTAAGAAGCTAAATGATGTAGTCCACGGGGACCAAGAGTTTAGGTCAGAGCTAAGTGTCATTGGAAGAATCTATCATATGAATCTGGTGCGAATTTGGGGATTTTGTGCTGAGAAGAGTCACAGGCTCTTGATTTCTGAATTTGTTAAGAATGGCTCTTTAGACAGGATTCTGTTCGACAATCAGAACCTATCTCCTGTACTACAATGGAGCCAAAGGTACAGCATAGCACTAGGGGTAGCAAAAGGACTGGCGTATCTCCACCATGAATGCCTCGAATGGATCATTCATTGCGACGTTAAACCAGAGAACATACTGTTAGATGAAGACTTTGAGCCCAAGATTGCAGATTTTGGATTGGTAAAACTATTAGGTCGAGGAGCAGGAACACAAATGTTGTCAAGAGTTCACGGGACTAGGGGCTACATTGCACCAGAATGGGCTCTAAATCTTCCAATTACCGGCAAGGCTGATGTTTACAGCTATGGAGTAGTGCTTCTTGAGCTAGTGAAGGGGATGCGTGTATCCACTCGGCAAGTGGAAGGCGAGGCGGAGGGGGAGGTGTGGAAATGGCTGTTAGATGCTCTGCCGAGATACTGAAGGAGAAATTGGCAAGAGAAGATCACTCATGGCTCCTCGAGTTTGTTGATTGTAGATTGGGTGGAGAATTCGATTATTCACAAGCAACCATGATGGTAAAGATTGCAGTGTCATGTGTGGAAGAGGAGAGGAGAAGACGACCAAGCATGAGCAATGTCGTTGAAGCTCTACTTACACTGGTGGAATAATGTCTAGTTCTGTTACTAACAGCTATCGTGTCCTGTTGCTCAGAACATTACTGGGAGTCTTATGCAAATCTTTTGTGAAATATCTTGAGAGTGCTTTATATGAAATAAACTAGAGAATTATCATGTTAATATCTCCATAATGTTGTTCAAAGCTCCACTATTGTTAATATGGGCCAACAGGGTACTTGTGTTTCACTTGGTTTAATTATTTGTATACTTCGGTCTATGTACACTTACACTATAAACCTTTGGAAATGCAGGGATCCTAACAAACTAGAAGATTGGATAAAGTTATACTTAAAAATACGGTAAAAACATCAAGAACATCAAGAATCTACACCACTAAGATGCATCTAGTGGTAGTCTAGTTTCTTTCTGTTTGATTCACTAGCAGGCAATAAACTTTAGAACCCAGTATACATAAGAAATATCCAGCACTAGACAAACACACCATCCTTGACATGTTTCCCTGAGGCATTGGTCAAGTCCCAATCCTGGCCATAGTAAGGTCAGCTATACTATCAAAAAAAAAAAAGGTCACAACTATAGACCTGCTCATTTTTTGTCTAACCTTTGTCCAATTCAAGGTACACATGCTACGTAGACAGTGTCATACCTAGGAAGATTATGCAAGATTCCGGTCTTTGTTGATTACTTGCTCAATGCAGAGTTTATGCAAGTAACTGTCTGCAACATTGAACGCAATGGCTGAAATTTTTTTTGAACGCAATGGCAGGAGCTCTGCCTTTCAATTAAGATCGGGAAATAGAGTTTATGTACAAGCAAAGACACTCCAGATAAGGGTTTAAAGCCCCCGAAGCAGGGATAAGAGGGAAACACACACCCCAAGGAAAAACAGCAGCTAAACATAAGCGAATGCTCTCTTCCTTTGCTCTCTGTCTTCCTTTATCCTTACGGCTACTTGCGGCACCGTTTCTGTCTCGTTGTTGAAAATTCTCCTATTTCTCTCTTTCCAAATATTCCAAAAGGTGTAGATTACTACCCCGTTTAGTCGTCAACATTTAGATTTACATCGTAACTCTTGAGGTTGCGCCAGGAATCCTTTTCATTTGAAAAGGATGTCTGTAAGGCTAAGTAGACTGAAGAAAAGAGAAACAACAGGTATACTACGGCGATGGGAAGAACTGCAAACAACAAACATTTTGACAAATACTTGTGTGGCGGCTACAGAAGTACATAAAGGGTACCGAAGAAATTAGAGTTTATACAGAAACAAGTTTCAAAGACGTCCTGAACTGTGATCACATAGTCAACCGTCTGCTACATCTGGCCTTACCGTCCTCTACAAGTCATCCACCAATCAGTCCCATTCCCAGCTACTGGTACTCACGTACATGCCACAGAAAGTCAGAGATAGAGGCCACTTGAAGCCGCCAGGGCACCTATTGGCTCTTATGCTATAAATGACTCACCCATCTTTCCTCTGTGCACCTTTGCCAAGTAGCCATGGCCATGAGAGACCTCTGCATTTTCACCACATTTGTCTCCTTTCTTATATCATTATCCTCTGTTTCTGTTGCAAACGACCAGAGCTACCTTGCTAGAGGCTCCTCCATCTCCACTCAGGAAGTAACCACCGTCATCCTAGTGTCGCCTAATGGTGCCTTCACCTGTGGCTTCTACAAGGTGGCCACCAACGCCTTCACCTTTTCTATCTGGTTCTCCTGGGCATCTGGCAAGACTGTCTCCTGGACGGCTAACCGTGATGCTCCAGTCAATGGCAGGGGCTCCAAGCTCATCTTCCGGAAGAATGGAGGCTTGATCCTTGTGGACTATAATGGCATGGTCATATGGAGCACCAACACAACCGCATCTCGCAGTGATCGTGCAATGCTTCTCAATAGCGGCAACCTTGTTGTCATGGATACAGATGGGCATCACCTCTGGAGAAGCTTCGACTCACCAACTGATACACTTCTACCATTGCAGCCGATGACTCGAAATACTAAGTTGGTATCTGCTTCTGCTAGAGGTTTGCTCTATTCAGGCTTCTATGCCTTCTACTTCGCCAGTAACAACATCCTAACTCTTATTTACAATGGTCCTGAGACTAGTAGCATATATTGGCCAGATCCATTCTACCTGCCATGGGATAATGGTAGGACTACCTATAATAGTACCCGGTATGGGGTCCTTGACCAGACAGGACGGTTTGTGGCAAGTGACCAGCTTGAATTTGAAGCTTCTGATCTCGGCAATGAGATGATGAGGAGATTGACTCTTGACTATGATGGTAACCTTAGGTTGTATAGCCTAAACATAACCACTGGCAGTTGGTCAGTCTCTTGGATGGCATTCCCTCGAGTGTGCAATATACATGGACTGTGTGGAGCAAACAGTCTGTGCAAATACAGACCGGAGCTAGAGTCATGTTCTTGCCTTGAAGGATTTGAGATGATTGAACCAAGTGACTGGAGCAAAGGTTGCAGGCGCAAGACTAATACCATGCCCTTTTCATTTAGGAAGCTTCCCGGAACGGACTTATGGGGCTATGACTTAAACTATTCTAAACTGGCGCCATGGTGGATGTGCAGGGATATGTGCTTGAACAATACCAACTGCGAAGCTTTTGGTTACCGGAAGGGAGCAGGCGAATGTTATCCAAAGGCCTTTCTTTTCAACGGCAGGAACTTCGCAGATCCTTACAATGATATCTATCTGAAAACTCCAATGGCAGTATGGTCTTCACCAGAATTGGCTCCTAGACCAAGACATGTTTGCAAAGTTACTGAAAAGGAAGCATACCCCTCATCACAAATGTTCGTGGGTGACAATTCCAGTTTCAAGTTTGGATACTTCCTATCTTCTGCATTGACATTGCTTGTCATTGAAGTGACTTTAATCATAGTAGGCTGTTGGATTGTTAACAAATGGGAGAGAAGACCAGAGACTATGGATGAAGGTTACATGATCATTTCCAGCCTGTTCCAAAGGTTCAGCTACAAGGAGTTAGAGAGGGCAACCAAGTGTTTCCAAGAAGAGCTCGGAAGTGGCACATCAGGAGCGGTTTACAAGGGAGTCCTTGATGATGGAAGGGAGGTCGCAGTGAAGAAGCTAAGTGATATGATGCAAGGAGAACAAGAGTTCAGATCTGAGCTCAGCATCATTGGAAGAATATATCATATGAATCTGGTAAGAATTTGGGGCTTCTGTGCTGAGCAAACTCACAAGCTATTGGTTTCCGAGTTTGTTGAAAATGGTTCGTTAGATAGATTTCTGTTTGATTATCAGGACTTGACTTATGTGCTGCAATGGAGCCAAAGGTACAATATCGCACTTGGAGTGGCAAAAGGACTGGCATATCTCCATCATGAATGGATCGTGCATTGTGATGTTGAACCAGAGAACATATTGTTAGATAAAGAATTCGAACCAAAAATTGCAGATTTTGGATTGGTTAAAGTACTAAGTCGAGGAGCAGGAGCACAGATGCTGTCAAGGGTGCATGGGACTAGAGGGTACATCGCACCAGAGTGGTCTCTAAATCTTCCAATAACAGGGAAGGCTGATGTTTACAGCTATGGTGTAGTGCTCCTCGAGTTAGTAAAAGGGGTTCGGGTTTCCAGTTGGGTAATTGAGGGCGAGGAGGTGGTCGAAATGTCTATCCGATGCTCTGCTGAGATTCTCAAAGAGAAATTGGCAACCCAAGATCCGTCGTGGCTCCTGGAGTTTGTTGACTGCAGACTGGATGGAGAATTCAACTACTTACAAGCAGCCACGATGTTAAAGATAGCGGTGTCATGCGTGGAAGAGGAGAGGAGCAAAAGACCTAGCATGAACCATATCCTTAAAACTCTGCTTTCATTAGTGGAATAGTGTTGCATAATTTAGCTAGTTTTTTCTTCTACCAAGCTGATGTGCATACTGTGATAGTGGACAGGTGAATAAAATAATAGTGGTGTGCTGTAGCACAAAATGGTTAAATGGAGCCATGTCTTGGGGCAACTTTAATGAAGTGTATCCAAACTCCTTCAGGAGCTTCAGTATACATATTTATATAATTTGTTCTGCACAAAATGTATCCAGTTGAAATGCTATTTGGTGTAGAAATGCTTACAGTTGGATTTCAACAACTAGATGAGTGCATACAGTCATGATGAGTCAACACTCGAAATATTCACTCGAAAGATGTGTCAAGTGACAGTCTAATTTCTTTCTTCATTCATTGAGCAAGCAACTAACTGAAGAGTGACAAATCCAATTGAATCAAAATATTCACCACTATACAAACTATATATGATTAAAAAGAATCGACAATGACAGGAATTGTGAAACAATCATCATCGCTAGTCAGGCGCTCGCAGGTCCTTCATTGTTGCTGCCAATGCGGTCCGCAACGCCAATGCATGACCATCAACCTCGAGTCCTTCTGCTCCGGCACCGGCGTCATCTCTTTGGCTGTGCATTTCCCCCAAATCACTCTCTGCCTCCTCAACATCCGGCGCCAATGCAGAGTAATCCTCCCTAGTCAGCAAAACATTGTGAAGCATTGCACATGTCCCAATGCACGCCACAGCTGCCCGAGAGCTTTCCTCCTCACGGAGCCTAGCGATGGCTCCCCATCCCATCAAGCTCCGGATAGCACGCCTCACCGGGCGGCACATTGCCCTGTGCGCAGCATTGAACTCCGCCTCAGGGGAGCCAGGCACCACTGGCCCTGGGAACGGCACCATGAGCCAGGGCAGCAGCGGGTACCCACCCCCATCCCCAACCAGGTACTGCTGGGAGTCAAGCAACTTCCCCTGCTCGATCTCCTGATACAGCGAGGAGAGCCTGAGCACCTCGAGGTCCGTGCGGTCGCCGCGGAATCCCGCGGCGAGCGAGAGCACGCGGGAGGAGGCGCCCGCCACGAGCTGCGCGGCGAGCGGGCCGGTAGGGCCGGCGAAGCGCGCGCAGCAGAGCGCGCCGCGGCAGGAGGGGAGCGGGGCGGAATAGGCGCTGGTTGGGTCGGAGGGGAAGGCGAGCCAGAACCGGAAGTTGGCGAGGAGCACGCGGCGGAGGCGGCGGGAGGCGGCGCGGGGGGCGGAGGGCGGGACGCGGAAGAGCGCCGCGAGCGCCGGGTAGGGCAGGCCCGACGCGAGGCGGGCGAGCGCGAGCGCGAGGAGCACCGGGGACGGGAGGGAGGGGTGGGAGAGGAGCGGGTCGAGCAGGCCCGAGAGGAAGTGGAAGGTGGGCGCCGAGACCCGGAACGCGAGCGGGTAGTCGTCCGGGCTCGTGGGCGGCAGCGGCAGGGGCGCCGGCGCCGGCGGTGGCGTCTCCCGCTCCGGGGCCGCGGCGGGTGTCGCCTGGGCCGGGGCCGGGGTGGGGTCGGGGTCGGTCGCTTCGGCGTCCGAGGCGGAGCCGGCCTCGTCGCGGCGCAGGCGCTTGCGCGCGCGGGCGGTGGGGCCGAGGAGGACGAGGAGCGCGGCGGCCGAGTGGGCGGTGAGGAGGAGGGGTGGCGGGGTCGTCATGGAGGGGAGAGGCGGGGGCGCATGGTGCTGGTGGTGGTGCGGGAGTGGTTGCGCCGTCGGTGTAGCGAAATACGGGAGGATTTCGTAGGCGAACGCAGTGATGCGACACCGATCGATGCCGCTTCCGTGCACGGATCGCGTATGGGACTGGGAGGGATCGATTTTTTTTTCGTTTTGGCTGTCGTGCTTCTACTTTTTTTTTTTAGAAATCCGCCCTTTATTAGCTCAGGATTGAATTACAAACACCATTGGATGACGATAAAAACCAGACGTGTCTCCCAAGAGACATGGATACAGAGCTCCTAGCTAATCTATGCGCATCCATATTTGGACTTCTTCGTTCATGGACGAACTCCACATGGGGAAAGTTGCTCTCCTTGTCTTGATCTCCTTCACTATTGCCCCGTATAGCCCCATTCCCTCTCCATGGATATCCTTCACTGCATTGATACAGTCGCAAGCCACCCTAACCTTGTGCAGTAGCAGGTCCGATGCCAACGCCAAACCCTCCCGGCAAGCTATCGTTTCCACTACTTCCGGGCTGGTTATGCCTTCCAACACTAGCACTGATGCTCCCAAAAAATTCCCTGCTTCATCTCTCGCCACTGCAGTTGCGGCAGAAAGATCAAAGGTCTTTGTCATTGCAGCATCAACATTTATTTTTTGCAAGACCAGGCAGTGGGGCTAGCCATCTCGATGACGACGCTGGCAGTCCGCCCGCACTGCTCCCCAGAGCCGCCTTGGTCACCATGAGCTCTTCCAGATACCTGTCCACAAAGAAGTGTGTGGACAAGGGGCTTTGAAAAACATTCTCGTGAATCACCAATCGCCTCGCATGCCAAATCGCCCACAAGCGGATCATGGCCCGTGTGATTGCCTCATGAGTCAAAATCTTCCACACTTCCGCTAACCATGCTCTCGCATCTCCTTCACTGATCATACATATTGCTCCAGCGATCTCATCTCGCTCCAACGCCCAGACGGCCTTCGCCATATGACACTCCAGGAGGGAGGGTTTCCAGGAATCCAGGCCACCGCAAACACTGCACCAGCTGTTGTCCACCATGTTTCTCCGATGTGTTGTGCTTCTACTTAGTTCCACGGTTCCGGCCTTGGGCCGGTGTGCCGGACTGCCGGTTGGGCGGCTGCATGGTTCGAGTTCAAGTACAGTTGGGCCTTGAGGAATCCATGGGCGTGTTTGATTTCGGACCCGGAGGCCTGGCTGGGTCCGTGGGCTGCAACTTCACATGTTTGATTTGCTATTCCTGTTTCTCAGCCTGGCTCGTGCGGCCTTCAAAGCACCCAAATGGGTGACTCCCAGGAAATAAAATGGGGGTTCATGTATTTTTTTGGGTGCTTTTAGATGCCCTTAGATGCCAAATAACGTCGCTATTCTTTTGTGTTTTGAGATTCATCATGTTTCATTCACCTAAAAATAGAGGGCATATGTTGACACGCAAAATTGTGCCAACATGGAATGCGAGGTAGACCATCAAGTTTCTGACATAAAAAACGCGCTGAAAAATATTTGGAACAATATAATTCAAGCCACAAAAAGGAGCAAAATGGAGAAAAAGGATGGAGCCACCTCCGCCGAACCTGCTCGAACCGGCCAGGCCGATTCCCAAACCAGCTCCTATGCCTGCCCTGGCTGGCCCTATACCAAGCCTGTGAACCGCCTGCCTTTCCGGAACTAAGTTGATTTCTAATTCGGTTTTGATCTATTTTTGGCATGAAAAACATGGAGAACGCATTTTGGACTTGGTTCCTACTAGGATAAGACCACCCTCTATGTATATGGGAGGATTATGGCCAATTGAGGATCCCAACTTCAAAAGTAAAAAAAACACAACACATACCCTCTTTTACTCTGCTTTCTCTCTACCTTGTTGTTCATCATGACTCCTGGCAAGATTTGACAGCATTCTAGGTGGCCTTGCCAATCCTAAGACACCTCCACGTGCTCCTCCCCGACGGATCGTCCCGAGAGGTGTTCGGGAATCTACCACACGAAGAATGGGCTCAACATCGGCTTAACCGGTCTCTAGATCAGTTTCGTCGATCCGCTGCGTTCTTATTGTGACCACAGTCCATATCATTGGGTCGCTACAAGAAACAATTTGTGGCTTGGGTTACCAGCGAGGAGCCCTGGCAAGCTATCTTTGAACAAATTGACATATAGGACCATGCCATCAGCCCCTATCTACTATATAAGTCAAGAGCCCTCAGATGCACCGTGTGCCTCAACATTGTCTCACTAGACCTTCTCTATGAGTAAGTTTTGTTCATCTTCTGCAGTTTGAACTGCTTTGTATATCTTGTTTTATCAGTTCTATAGCACTCAGGAAATGGACTGTGGAGCAAGCGATCGTTGCGATGGACTCCTTCGTATGGCACCCAGGAAATGGCCGTGGAGCAGGTGATCGTCGCGATGGACTCCTTCGGTGCCCCGATTGGGTTTATGCCGCCATGGAGGAGGCAAGACCCACAGCGATCACGACTGGCTTCGCATCCGTACAGACTCAGCTGGACTCAGGCCACGGGTGATCATACCTGATGGCCACCCAAAGGAACAAGCCTAGGCTATCATCAAGGTATGAGCAAGAACTGCTAGTAGACTCTGTCGGTTCGTGTCTTCCTCAAACATGTTGTTGCGATCATATATATATTCATGATTAAGGATTCATAGAAAGTCATCTAAATGGATCCTTAGTTTCACAAATTCCTTCAGTTTTAAATCCTATATACCAAAAGAGCTATAATTTTTTTTATTTTACATACCAAGTATTACTAATGTTTCTGTCCAATTACGGATACATATAGGATTTTTCTAGTATCTACATAGCTCCTATATAATTTTAGCCCTTCTATTATGATCCTCGAGGAGTTTATTGTGAGTGCAAAGATGTCTTTCCCCCCTAACATATATAATACATGCTTTTAGTATACTCGAGTTTGAAACATTTATTTGTTTGGGGCCTATTGTTTCCCTATGATCTGGATTCGCTAGGCTATGTAATGGAAAATTAGGATGTGACCTAGATTAACACTCTCAGGATTAAAGCCTATATATACACTCACAACCATTGGATTGATGACAAGTGGCAACCATCGAAATCATCATATACAAAGATTACTCTAGAACTTTCCTCTCCTTATGTAATTCCTAAATATTTTCTATCATACAAGTATCTAGCTCTCAAACCTTGTACACTTCACCATGAGCCATTCCTTTGCCATGAAGCTAATTCTACAATGTTCCAGGACAAATATCTTATCTCTTGTATCTTCCAAATTGTTCTGAAAGCTTCTAAGTATGCATTGTTGTAAATTATTCATTAGATGCACCAAACTGAACTTCCTTATCTAATGTGCTGGAACAACGAGGAACCTTGGAAATGGCCACTAGGAACAGCACAAATTTATGAATCTGGGTCCTCGAGCAGCTAGCGGGGTAGAAAACTAAAGAAATATGGTTGAGCCACTTTAAAAATCCAGACATAGTATTTTAGTGATAGCCCAGTAGACTTGGCCGAACAAGATAAAATGTTTAGCAGCACTGCGTCAATATAAACAAATAACATTCTATGGAGTTTATTATGTATGAGTAAAATCATAAGGCACATAAGTTACTTGCTAATGATAGAATCTTTCCCCACTTTCGCTTTTCGTGGATAGTGGCTGTCCACAGTGAGAGCATGCCGCTGAATTACCCATCAGCTTTGACTCTGTGCAGCAAAAGAATTTGCGCAGGGCGTATGCCAGCAAAACAAATACAAAATAATGGGATATCATATGCTAAATCAGCGCTAAGGACCATGAGATTATCACAAGCAATTCTCTAAAGTACTCAAACATAGAACAAGAAGTAGTGAGATAAAAAAATCAAACCAATACCAAAAGAGTGCTTTCTTTTTAATATAATCACATACTAAAAATGATTTGAGACACCAATTGACAAAGTCGAGTATGAACACAGTAGACAGATATTCATAGTATAGTAACAGCATACCATAAGATTCAGAAAAAAAATCCAGTACGTCTAACATGTCAGCTAGGAATCTATGTGCCAAATGAACTAAGGATTTTCTGACTTATGTTAGTAGCTCTAAACTAAGTATTTTCTCACAAACTTATGTTAGTAGCTCTTGACTTATGTTAATTAATAAAGGCTGACAGGCCTGATTAGTAGCTCAACTAAGGGTTTTCTGATAGCAAACTTATGTTAGTAGTTGTAGGGTCGAGATGGCGGACTAGAGGGGGTAAATAGTTTTTTAAAAAATTAAACACGTTAGCTAACCGAAACAAATGCGAAATTAAAATTATCGGTCTAGCCAAGGCTACACCCCTCTATCTAAGTTTACAAGCACCTTACAAAGATCCTAATATGAGCAACTAAGGTGCCGGGCTAGGTAGAACTCACCTAAACAATTTTAGTTAGCAAGGTCACACAAACCTATGCAACTAGTACTCAAACAACCGAGGAGATCCTACACATGCTAGTATGCAAAGTGCACAAAGCCTAATCTCACTAGCACTACTCAATAGCAAGGCTACCTAAGCCAAACTAGAGAGCTCAACAATTACTTAGCTACACAAACTAAGCAATGTAAATAGCAAGGCTACAGTTACGCAAGAGAACAACTACTTTGCTACTAAAGCAAACTAGCTATACAAGAGCATCAACACAAGCACAATATATGAACAAGTAAATACAAGGTTGTGTATGGAGATTGCAAACCAACGGAAAAATAATGACATGATGATTTTTATCCCGAGATTCGGTGGTTTGCCAACCACTTAATCCCCGCTCTGGGTTGGCCTTCTATATCTCTGTTTCGGCAACGTTCCTGCAAGCTCATGCACATAATACCATATTCATATTCACTTTATGAAAGTAGTGTTCATATTGCTTAATTAGGATTGGCCTCTGTTCTTAATTCGGGTTGGCCTTCCATATGCCTGTAAGCCTATTTGGATTTTGTATTGTCTTTCTGTTTGCCTGCAATATAGTTTTTGGAATAAGAAGAAAGCAAAAGAGGGACACCTAAGTTTTGCAACTTGACAAATAAAAGAGTGAGCCATCACGGCTGCACCTAGGATTTAGTTTATGCGACAAAAAACAATACTATCTTTGGATATTCAAGTTTTAGGTCTGAGATTACACATTTCAGAGTACATGTTTCATCACTAGGAAGCAGAAATATACAAGCATATGGATGCATCTCTCACGTTTCAATCATGTTTCAGGATTCAGCTAGGTAGCCTATTTTTTGCAGAACAGTAGGTGTAATGGATGATGCTTATGAAATTCAGCTAGGTAGCCCATGTTTTTCATCCAAAGTTGCACTAATTATAGGGGAATTAAGTTGATGAGCCACACGATGAAGCCATGGGAGAGAGACTTATCGAGCATCGACTACGAGGAACGACACGGGTATCTACGAACCAATTTGGTTTCATGCCCTGAAGGTCAACCATAGAGGCAATTTTCTTAATAAGACAACTTATGGAGCGGTTCAGGGAGCAGAAGAACGACATGCATATGGTTTTCATTGACTTGGAGAAGGCTTATGATAAAATACCAAGAAATATTATGTGGTGGGCGTTGGACAAATATAAAGTCCCAACAAAGTATGTTACCATCATCAAGGACATGTCCAGCAATGCCGTAACTAATGTGTGAACAAATGATGGTAACACATACTACTTCACGATTAAAATAGGACTTCATCAAGAATCAGCCTTGAGTCCGTATCTCTTTGTCTTGGTAATGGATGAAGTGACAAGGAACATTCAAGGGGATATCCTTTGGTGTAGGCTTTTTGCAAACGATGTAGTGCTAGTTGATGAAAGCCAGGCATGAGTAAATAGGAAATTAGAGTTGTGCGGCAGACCCTTGAGTACAAAGATTTTAGAGTAAGTCGACCTAAAACAGAATACATGAGATGTGACTTTGGCAATGCTGCACATGAGGAGGGTGAGGTGAGTTTGGAAGGTCAAGTGGTGTCTAAGAAAGATCCCTTCTGTTATCTAGGATCGATACTACAGAAGGATGGAGATATCAATGCAGACGTTTGACATAGGATCAAAGCAGGGTGGATGAAGTGGTGTCAAGCATCTCGCATTCTCTGTGACAAGAGGGTACCAAAAAAACTCAAAGACAAGTTTTATAGAACGGTGATTAGACCCTCTATGTTGTATGGAGCAGAATGTTGGCCTACAGAAAAACGACATGTCCAACAACTGAGTGTCACGGATATGCGTATGTTGCGTTGGATTTATGGTCACACAAGGATGGACCGAGTTCGGAACGATGATATACGTGACCGGCTAGGGGTAGCACCAATTGAAGAAATGCTTGTCCAACATCGGTTGAGTTGATTTGGTTATATTCAAAGAAGACCTTTAAAGGCACCAGTGCATTATGGAGTCATAAATCGAGATATTAATGTGAAGAGAGGTAGAGGAAGACCGAAGCTGACGTGGGGAGGTAATAAAAAGAGATTTGAAAGGTTGAGATATACCTAGAGATCTTTGTTTGGATAGGAGTGCTTGAAAAGCAGCTATTGACGTGCCTGAACCGTGACTAGAGGCTTATGTTGGGTTTCAATTCTAACCTATCCCAACTAATTTGGGACTAAAAGACTTTGTTGTTGTTGTTGTATGAGAGCTTCGTGAACTATATTCTGACTAAAATTAGACACTGATGATCGTGTTAAGTCAGCATAACAAAACTGATCATGTAAAGTCAGCATCACGAAACAATATTAGGTCACGCATGTTTAGCTATTGGTGTCAACAGTCTACAAGGAGGAATTGAAGTCTTTACTTTCATTCAACGTATCTGAACCATAAAAATTATTACTAGAGCGCAATCGAGCAGCCAATATCAGATTGCTTTCAAATACACCAGATTCAAAATCTCTGATCTAGTAGAACAATTCTGAATTCTGATAATGGGGCTGGCCTCAAGGGAGTGGGGGCAATGGCTTACGCGCAGCAGGGTTTATGCTGCTAGCTTGAGAAACACATTGCAGTGTCAATCACCTGGTAGCTTTCGATATACCATGAAACGTGCAACGATACATGGTTTTGTACTATTAATACTGCCCTGCTAATTTTCAAACAAAAAGGAAAGGTGAAGCTTTCAAGTTGCTTCATAAAAAATTAAGTTACTACTGCAGTAACAGATGCAAATAAAGGGGAAGCCTGCGTGTCAGCTGGGTTACTGAACTATGTGTCATCCTGCCTTCGGTCCTCACTTCAGTCTCATCAGTCGCCATTTCCTAAGCTGTCCAAGACTAATAAAAAAACAAAAGAAACGTTAGCATACAGCAACTGAGCAGCAGACCCACTAAAAAATGGCATTTTAGGTAACGAAGTAAGCGAGCTACCACATAATTTATTCTTTTTAATGTAACTTGACAACTGTAGTAGTCAGATCATTAGAAAATAATACAATAGAATATACAAACTTTTACGTCATGGAGCAACCACGGTTAGCTCAACTATCTGATGGAATATGTCATTTATGACATGTTCGAAGCCATTGAAGAAATGAACTTCATAATTGCAAATTATAATGAACTCTTATCAACTTCATTCTAAATATCACATTAATTTCACTATTGAGCTTATTTTTTAAAATAAATCGATTACTCAGGCTTGAAATATCACCAGTTTTCATATTTTTAACAAAACAAGGCCAATAGTCTAACTTCTTAGTTCAGAAAGGTCAAGTTAACATAGTAATATTATACTATGACCACCCATTTTAAACCTGACCATGGTAGGGTTCACATGTCGCTTCAGTCTTCGGGCATGAAATGAGAAGTTTACCTAAACTTGTCCTGCATTTTTTGGCACCATATCTTGTAGTCACTCCTTGCTATGTGAGCAGCCATCAAAATGATCAGCGTTTACTATGGATGATTCTTGCCTAATGGGGTTCATATCAACTCCTATAAGGGGTCAAAGGAAATGTCAGCAAAATGTTAAGGATGAGAAGAGAAAAGTGTGGCGTGCGACAAATGGAAGTAAATTGTCACAAACCTGGTAGACTAACTCTTTCTTGAGTTGAAGTTAGCTGGTGCTTTGTCACTACCTCGCCCGGAAGCATCATCTTGCAAAGAAAAATCTAAGTTAGGGAAGTTCCTGTGAAACAGCAAAGCGATACTTAAGGTGGTAAGGCTTTGGATCAAGATTTTGATCTACTCCCAATAAAATGATTACCTCAGAAGATTCAGGCATTCGAAATGTTCGAAGGTGGGACTGCGTTGATTCCAAGTGAAATGGAGCTTCATGAATGGTTTTGTCTACATTTGGTAATACAAAAGACAGTGGTTGGTTTCTTGGAGGATTTAATGGGTCAAATGGCTGATGAACTCCTGCACTTTGGTTTACTGGTGGCATCGCTGCCCCAGAGCTTGACGCTGTGATGTTGCCCCCACCAAGTGCAGCAAACATTTGTGATGCTTGTGCAGGCTCAATTGCGCCAGACAAATATGGAGGGTTCAAGTAAACACCATTTCTCATAGACAGCATCTATAACAAAATAATAGGTAAATAAAAGTTACACTCTATAGTTGCAGTTCAGCAATTAACACTGGCCATTAAAATATAACTTAGAATAGTATGTTACTGACACGTGTGCTACGAAAATGCATTCACTGAACATACAATATTTGGTTCCAAACTAGGCCCTCGCTGTCACAAACAGCCAAGCATTTCTGTGAAGGAAATAGGCAGTATTTTTGGGTTAACACTAACCACATACACAGTCAGCCTATCACTAGACACTACATTGCGATTTCAGAACTTCTTGTGTGTCTCCATTAGTTAGCACCTTAGGCAACTGCAAACCATCTTTGCCACCACCTTTACTGTTCAAGTATCGTAGCATATAAGGGTTTGCACATAACATTGCAGTTCTACCAGTTCACTAGCCATATCATTTATCTTGAGGTCACACCGGTTGATGAGATTATATTTTAAACGAAGTATACATCTTGACAAGTACTTAGTGCCCAAATTGTCATCCAACATATAAACAGGGACACCGGGACATCCTTTTACTTGACAAAACAACAGGCAAGCTTGGCATTGATCAATAGTTTAGCCACAGTGGGGAAACCTAAATTGTAAACAAATGAAAATGGAAGGTATCGGCAAATTAATGAAGCTCTCTCTATCTCTTCAAAAATAATAAAAATGAAGCACCCATCACACATAATGCAAACAGGCCCCTGCTGGTTATAATAAGGCAACTGACATCAAGAGTCATGCAAGTCTGTCGTCACGGATTTGATGAAGAATCAATAAGGCTGAGTACTCTCTATTGTACCAATTCTATGTCAATGTTTTGTACCAGAAAGATGCATCGACACCATGTGGACGTGTCCTATTTGCTCACCTGCACTTGGAGCTGCAGTTGCTTCAGATACTCAATGGCCTCGTCAAGCATGGATGCCTTGTCGGTCTGCACTCCCAAAGAACATCACAGCAGAAACACAATACGGTCAAATCCAGCACTAACTCAACTGAACAACCTTTGCGAGCGAGCGAGAGGAGTCAGAATAAGAGCTCTTGTCAGTTTCCACTGACCTTGTTAGAGTTGGGTATCAGGCTCTGCAGCGCCTTCATCTTCTCGTTGATCTTGCCCTCCTCCTCTGCGCCCAAAAGCCAACAAAACCAAGCAACGATCTTTACTCTTTAGCACTCGCACTTAGAAGAAAGCAGAGCACGGCGAGAAAAAAAAAACTCTGAGATTTCAAGAAATGGCAGCGTCGCCACCTTCTCGGAGAGGTTGTGCACCTCGGCAGCGCGGCTCCGCTTGCTGCCGGACCCGCCGCGCGTCCGCTCCGGCGGCGGCTCGGGCTCCGACCCGCCCGCGTCGCTGTCCCCGAGCCCGCCGGCGTCCTCCCCGTAGTCCACCTGCTGGCCATGGCCCAGCGCCGCCGGGAACGCCGCCACCCCGGCGAACATCTGGCGCCGCACCTCCTCCTCCTCCTCCTCCAGCTGCCGCCGCCGCTGGTGGTGGTGCTGCAGGAGCGCCATCGCCTCCCGCCCGTGGCCCTGCACGGCCCCGCGGCCCCCGCCGAAGCCACCGAGCCCCTGCTCGTTCATCTCGTCCGCGCCTCACCACACAGCGTCGCGGGAGGCGAGAGAGCCCCCGGCCGGCTCCGTTGGGACTTGGGAGAGGAGGCGAAGGGGGTAGAGAAGGCGAGGTGGGTTTGTGCTGGAGGCGCGGCTGCTTCCTTCTTTTTAGTGCTTGCGCCCATGCCGTGTCGCTGCCGCTGAGCGGAGCCGAGCTCGGTGGGTGGCCGGTTGCTTGCCCGCGCCCGCGCACCCCGCCCGCTTTGGGCTTGTTTTTTCCTGGACTTTTTACCGGGTTTTGGCGCTTTTCCCCGGGCGCGGCCGTGCGGCAGCGGACGGATTCCGTCCCGGCTCCGCGGTGTCAGCTAGCCAGCCAGCGCCTTGCTCCTCTGGGTCCGTGCAGAGCGGGTGTACATTTATGTTGCCTTTCAGTTGTGTGTGGGTTTGGGTTTCTCGGTTCAGCGATCAGCGATTCAGCGCTGTGGGTTTCTGCGTCTGGGTCTCTGTGCTGTAGCGTGTTGTTGCTTTCGTTAGTGCTGTTTCTTCTTTGTTTTTATATATACTAGTCATTGTTGTTCGCGCTTCGCTGTGGGTGATGTATTTGGTATAGGTGGCTCATATGTTTAACATGTTTCCTCATCACGTTGGTATGAAAGGGTGGTCTATTTGGTACATTAAACGGGTAAATATGAGAAAAAATGTAACATGGCTTTTTTCATTATAATGTTGTAAACGAACATAGAGGTTGGTTGTCATTACATGGTGCCTATTGTAGGCCAGCAAATCAATGACATGTTAGTGAAAAGAAATATTTGATGGAGTTGAGCTCAAGCAACTAAGACACTTAGATTCAAAGCACAACATTGGCTAGGATTGTATTATAGGTGGAAAGAGCAAAAACTACAACACAAGTATGTCTCTTAACGTGAGGGTTTACAAAAGAGTGAATTAGGATCCACTCCTCTTAGGCAAAACTACAACACATTTCGTAAATATGTAATCACACGAAGTACAACCAAGGCTTAGTCCAGAAGTCGGGATAGACGAGGGCAATGGAGAAACAACATGATAATGATTATCCAAAACATGGCGTATGACCAACAGATCCAAAAACAGGAGACTGAGAAGTAAAACATCGTTAACCCTAAGACCAAACTAACCAACGGTAAACTTGAACTTCTTTGAAAACCAGATCCTTTCTTCTCAGATTACACCATCACCTCTGTCAGATGAACCTAGTTCCACAATGACGACTGGATCTCTTACCTCTGCTTCGGATTCGAGAGGGACGAGGATGAAGGAGAAGAGGAAGGACCAAGGGCATCTTATAGTGACGAACATAGATAGGGCGCAGCGCACCGAAAGTGGAGATGGTATGGATGGGATACATTGTTGGTTCACGCTGTGGGGATACAGCCGGCCATGGCGTGCTTCCTGCACAAGGGAGCGGAGGGGGATATAAAGGAGAGGAGAGAGGGTTCGCTCGATGAGGAAGGCGTGCGGGCGGCCTTGTACCTAAAAGAAGAAAGAAGGAGGGGGTCCGGTATGGGGACGAGGGCGAGTATCAAAAGCGGACCGGAGGACGGAAAAAGTAGAGGCACACAGCGCACGAGGACGACGAGTGCGGCATGATGTCGTGGCCATGCGAGGACAAGGTGCTAACGGGCCTGACACCGACGGCGTCCGCGGGGCACGCGGTGACAGTGACCCGACGTGTGTAGTGTGGTTGAGCTGGGCACAGTGCTTGGGACTTGACATCCACTCAGACTTTTCTAAAGCACTCCCTACTACCCAAGTCTAACTTTTCCTAGGTGTTCTTCTTTCCTTCCCTTCCTTGTCCACAGTATGCGCCAACCTTTGTATGAAGTGAGATCGCAACATCTTTTCAGAATTATCTGAACCATGAGGATGCCAGTGACCTCTGTTCAGGCATGGCTCCCTTTGCTTTGCTCTGTTGTCTATCTATACCACACCCTGATACCCACATCTTTTTTTTTATCTTTTTCGGTAAAACTATACCGTACTCAAGTGTTTCTCGAGCGGTGAGCATTTGATTTTCTACGGGTATGATTTAGAACCGATCCAGCACGGACAGCCGCCCGTGCCTGTGCACAACGCGTGCTCCGAAGTCCCACACGCTTTGCCCCGAGGTGCATGGTCTGGTCCGCCTCTGCACCGACCAGTTGCAGGTGCATGCATGGTGTGCTGTGGTGTGGTAGACCAGACCAGGTCACCCACTGCCATCAATCACCTCGCCCACTGCATGAACCTATGCATGCATAACTATTTGTAGCGGTAGAGAAGTTTGACTTAAAAAAAAACAAAATAAATTTGTTCACGGTAGAGAAGTTTGACTTAGAAAAAAAGCAAAATAAACTATAATTTGGATTGGAGGGAGCAGTGGTCAACTCTTTTTGAGCAATTCTAGTAGTCATTTAACATTTGGGTTGCACGGTTGGATGTTCTCTCTTCGTTTTCTACAAGTAAAATAATTGGATAAGAGTTTTGCAGCCCCTAAATGGACTTGTTTGGTTCATGGGCTCATGGGCAAACTCGTCGAGCAATCTTTAGTCTTTGATTCTTTGCACTGTTTGACCACTTCAGCTGTCATGTTTTCTTAGCACCGTCTCACATGTTGTAGATTTATTTTATAGCCACAACTTCTCACTATTGTGGAGTCCAAAGTTTTCGTCACAAACAGTGTGGCACGTTACACTTCACTTTTGTGGAGTCCAAATTCTTCGCCACAAGAAGTGTGGCTTGTTACACTTGATGACTTGACTAAGCTTAGCCGTGGCAACAGTGGCGGAGCCGCAGAGTATGCCGGGTATGCACCGGCATACCCTGCAAAATCGGCGGCAAGTAGTATATATATATACTATATAATATAGTGTATACGCTGTATTTATAAAAAATAAAAATGAAAAAGCATACCTGGACACCATCGCTTGATGACGGGAGGCCCATGTAACACGGTCCACTCGGCAAGTGAACCCATACGGTATGCGCGCTCTGAGTCTCCGACTCTGTACAAGACGTTTCAGTTTCCTAATTTGAGTATGGAGCCACGGAGGAACACACCGCCTGCGCCTGACGCCCTGACCGGGTGAGTCAAGTCGGTGCCGCCCTGCCACCCTAGCCCCTGGTGCCTGCCGGCTGCCGCCCTCCGCCCTGCTCTGAATTGGAGGATCGCCGTCTGTTTCTCGCGTCTCGTCTGCAATATTTATGGTAATCTAAACTTTGCTCTTCAGGTTTTTAAAGAAAATTATTGTTTAGCCTTTTGAATGATTGTCTAGTCACTTTCGTTGAGCGAGATGTTTTTTTAAAGTTGATGAAAATGATATAGTCAAGACATTCATGTCCCTTTGTAAGCGTCGAATAAACCGGTGAGAAAAATAGCATTGTAAGTCTCTGGTACTCTTTTATGCCTATATTTGAACTATTTATATTGTATTTAGTGGATGGTCTAAATCTAATCCTTGAATTTATCGAATCATATTGTAAAATTTACAATTATTATCGAATTGCTAAAATAGATTTACCGAATTGTATATGAAATTTTTTGAGCGGCATACCCTAAGCTAAAATCCTAGATTCACCACTGCGTGGCAAGGTTAAGCATGAAATAAACTATAACCAATGGCACTCCTAGCTACAAGTATCAAGGTTAAATTTAATTAATGTACCTGAAAGATCCCTTGATACAATCTTGGATTCTTGGTGAATGAGCATCTATATATGCAAGAATACATGCATCTATATATGCTAACGATCTTTCGTGTTCTAATCGGCCGTGTGTTCGTGTCATGTTCTTGTCGTAAGGGCATCACGAACCGCGGGGCGTCGGTGCGGGTGGCCCGCGACACCGAGAAGGAAGGCAAAGGTGAGAGGCAGCGGAACCGGTTTCTTTCTTTCCAGTGCGGCCTTCTGCTGCTTCGGTTGGTTCTTGCGGCTGAACTGAACCCTGTGAGGTTTCTTGGTTTGCCTCAGGCTACTTGGAGGACAGGAGGCCAGCGTGCAACATGGACCCGTACGTGGTGACCTCGCTGATCGCGGAGACAACCATCCTGTGGGAGCCCAGGCACTCCAACGGCAGCGGCAAGGGCGCCGCGGCTCCTTGATTCTCCGGCGGGGACTGACCTACCTCTGTGTGAGAGGCGGGCTGCGTAGATGGCAAATGAGACTGACGCTGTCAGAAACTTGAGATGCCCATAATAATAGCTATAATTAGCTGGTTCTAGTGTTGGATAACGAACCAATAACACTTCTTTTGAGCTTTCTTCGAAATTAGCATAATTTTATCTATAGTCTCCTGAATTATCAACTTCAAACCGAGTTGAATGAGCCGAGACGAAGTCAAAGTCATTCTAAATCTTTTTTTCATTTTAAAAGAAAAACGAGTTCGTCCGGCCCTATCTGGTTCCCTAGCTTGTCGTGTGCTTGTGATCGCTGATACGTGTCGAAATGCATGGGTTATAGGTTTCTGGTTTTTTCCTTCAATCGGCTTGTCTTGGCGTACTTGCACAGATCGTGGATTGGTTTATGCCACCGCTCTCATTAACATTCAAAAGAACTCGATTCATTTCCACTTTCAAAACATCAACTCGTTTCCAATCTCAAAACATCAAAAATTCGGTGGATGGAGTTCAAAGGGCCATCTATCACAAGAACAGAACATGTATCAGAAGTTCAGAACCACCGGTCACTCGGGCCTATAAATCATGGAGCTGAACCAACACAGCTGTGCTGATCACATCAAACAAGACCAACACCGATGCAAATATATCCCAACCCACAACCACAATCCCCTACCATAATGCCACTCGTGATTCGCAATTACAAGGAACTTAAGAAGACAGGGTCTACAACCAGATCACACAGGAATGGTTAATTCTCGGACGGGTGATAACCAAGCCTCACCAAACAGCCATCAAAACATTAGTGACAGGTTATACAGGAAAGTAAAATATTTTTGTTCTCTTCAGAAAGAAAAAAATGATACGCAAATGCTCAAACAAACCAGAAACACTTCTAACAAGATTAGAAGAAGCTTTTCAAAGGAAAACAAGATTAGAAGAAACATGCTCCCAATTACAACACTGTAACAAGATTATTACCGCATGTTGTGCCAGCGGCTTACTCTGCAGTATGGGCAAAAAAACGAGACAGTCTAATACATACATTTTATTCATCGGTGAGATGCAACATGAAAGAAAAACTATGGAACAAGAGGCCGGAATGAGAGTTTGCGAATTTAAAAAACAACAAGTGAACTGTATTTGACACAAGAAATTCACTCAGTAGCAGAGACGGAGAGACGGAGACGCAAGTACGCTCCGTGCGTTCCTCTCTTGCTGCGTACGTGAGTGGGCAATGGGCTAATGGCCTGTGCTTTTAGGCACGTAGCACGTACGTAGTACATACATACACATGTACGTACAGAAAGTCCTTGCTATATATGTATACGCCTCAATAGCTTAGACGATTTGCTCATCCGGACTGATGGGGCGATGCCTCCATTGCAAACAAGTCCTTGAGCTGCTTCTCGTCACCGCCGCCTGTGTTCTGCACCGCCGCCGCCGGCTGCTGCTTCTCCTCGTCGTCGTCATGGCCATCGTTGCTGGCGGTGGCCAGAGTTTTCGGTGCCTGCTCCTGATGACTCTGCTTCTGGTGGAGGTGGTCCTTGCTCTTGCCCCAGAGGACGCTGTAGAGCCCTCCGACGAGGAGGCCGCTGCCGAGGAGGCTGCCGAGGCGCACGATCTCGCCGAGGAAGGAGGAGCAGAAGATGGTGAGCAGGAGGCCCAGTGGGTTGGACATGGCCAGGAACACGGGGCCGCGCCTCTCGATGCACCACGCCTGCAGGTAGAACGACACGCCCGTCACCACAAGACCCTGCATGCACGCATTGTCGTCGACGTTAGTTGTTTATCTGCTTGATAATCTCTTCGTCGTCGTCGTTGCTCATAATACTACTACTCACGGAGTAGGCGACGGCGAGGAGGCCGACGTCGAGCTGCAGCTTCCAGGCGGCCGGGTCCCGCTCGACGGCGACGGCGAGGAGGAAGGACTGGGCGGTGCTGAGGCTGAACTGTACCAGCATGGACAGCAGCTTGTTGGGGTACTCCTTGAGCTGCGACGCCTGCAGGACGATCCAGAGGGACCACGTCGTGTTGGACAGCAGTATCAGGAACGTGCCCTTCATCCATGCATGTCCCCTTGCCGCCGCCATCAGCATGAGCTTGAGGATGGTGCGTGGCGAAGGCGCGGTGGTGGTTCACCGGGCTCATCGAGGGACCCGTGTACAGGGCGATGGTCAGGACCCCGGCCAGGCACAGCACCACGCCCGCCGCCTTCGCCATGCCTGACGGGCTTCTCAGCCGAACCACTTCCAGCCTGCATGCACACACGTGTCTATAAATAAAACTATTATAATGTTCAGGTTTGATAATGATGACTTCCTGTTCAGGTTTGATAATGATGACTTCCGGTTCTGCTAGTGTTCAGAGTTGATCTCATTGCTACTGAATATGAATCTCTGTTGAACATGGAGAGGTCGTAGTTAGGAGGGAAGCAACATAGGGACCAACACGGACTCACCACTTCTGCTCATATAGAAGAATATAATAGCATTAACCAACAAAAACATGCAGTACCTTGAGAAAGAAATTTTCTTGTTGAAAGAGACTTATCAAGTCTGTTGTGCCATGGTGCAAAAAAACTGAACTGCAAAAAAATGAAGGTCAGAACAAAGCTAATAAGAATATATATGGTGTTGTGAAAGTAGCGCTATGCCCGCATATTTGGTGTGTGAAAGTACAAGTAAAGGTATTGTGACCCGTATTTGAAAACAAAAATGAACTGTTGCCGTACAGTAGTCATTTCCATGGAAGAAAAATCAATCAAGATACATTCGACGCAAGAAAATAAATTTCCATGGAAGAAAAATCAATCAAGATACATTCGACCAAGAAAATGAATGTAAGGGCCTGTTTGGGTCCTATCAATTGAAACCAATGTCTAAAAAATGTTTTCCATTTCATTATTAGATTCCTAATTTTTCTCAATTCCTGGAAAGCAAACATACCTTAAGCAGTAATATTTGACAACATCTCTCTCCTTGGCATCCAATCTCTGTTGGGCGGAATACGAACATGCAGGAAACATAATCAAGGATGCATAGAATACTGATCCAATTAACATCCTAAGGTAACTGGTAGGCAATTCCAGAGCTAAACTCAAAGGGTGCACTAAAAATCCATTCACTCAAAGAACGATGGTAAGGTATGAGGTATGACAGTGAGCAATACAACGAATTGAATCGTAGCAGCGTACCTGTTGTCCAGAATGGCAGGTCAGTGTCATGTGCGATCAACACGCATTACAACACCCTTTCCATAATCTGAAAAGGAAATGACCTGAAATCAAAGGGAAAAAAACATCTTAGTTGAGGCTGGATCAGTCATGAAATAGCAATTGTATGAAAACATGAGACTAATATACAAAGCAGGTTATTTGTCCCAACTTCACAGGTGAATGCAAATAATATTGTGTTGCACTGTAACTTTTTGTAAACATGGAGGCTAGCATATGAAACATTAAGAACCAAAGGTAACACTGAGTCTGTTTTATATAAATTGTAATCTGCACAAAGAAAGGAAAAGACAATAAATGTTATTGGAGTTTTCAGTTAACACAAGCAAACTTATAAGACCTAGCTTCAGTGTTACCTAATAAGAGGCTGGCAAGTGGCAACAACAAAGAATGGTTCATTGCCCTCACCAATTAATTTGTATGAACACTGCAAAAACCTATCTATCATATTTTGGCAATAGGATTTAGCTAGTTAGTGCCCAATGTACATGAAAGGAAAAATGATGTGAAGTCATTAAGGCAATACTCAATAGAAACTGAACACTATTTACAAACTCAATCTCTAAACATTTATCACTAAAAATCTCACAGCCAGAATCTAAAAACGTCAGGCATCACAGAGAGCAAGACGACAGATGGCGGCACAGATGCGAGATCTCTGAATACTTTGTAAATTATGGGGGGAAAGAATCAAATAGGAAGAGGAATACATTTGAAAGAGTAGTTCCTATAGATTTATCTTAGGCAAGTTTTATCTAAATACACTACACTGGTGCAAATGAAATTTAGATTATATACAAAATAGCTAAATATATAGAATACCTTAACATGTCAAAGAAATCACATATGCTTTCACTTGTCAGCGCGTAATAGGATATTTCTCTATCCATCAACAGACAGGGTATCCTAGGTGCAGCAAAACATCAGCAAACCACCATAGTAGATCAGAGAAAGCAGAAAAACTAATGAGGCATAAAACTTTGATATGGTAAAGCAAATATATGAACCTGTTGTGGTGGGCGACCTTATCCCAATCATGTTGTTGTGGGCGACCTCATTGAGAAGAAAACTGCTAGGAAACGAACAGAGAAGCCGAAGAACCGAAATTACTCACTTCGTGGAGAGCAGAAGCCCGCGGATCGGTTGTGAATCCTCCCTTGCTGGCATGGATCCGGGCCCTTGGCCAGGTAGCCAAAATCGCACCTCCGAGCGTGGTCAGCCCCTTAGCCATGGATCTAGCCACCGAGCGTGGAGCAGCCAAGCGTAGTGGTGAGGCGGGAGGAGTTGTGGTGACTGGGGCCCTTGCACCGCCTGCGGGGAAGAACGCGAGGAGGCGGCGATGGCGAGGCGGCCGGCCGCGGCATCTGCGCGGACTGCGGCTAGGGGAGAGGCGGCGACGGTGAGCCGGCCGGCGCGACATCTGCGCACTGCGGCTGGGGCAGAGGAAGAGGGCCGAGGCGCGATTGTATTTTTTCTTTCACGGGAGCCAGCCAGGCCGCCTAGTGGAGAGAAGTGGATGAAACGGAGACGGCGAGGCGCAGAGCGTTTTTCGTCGATTAATCGGGAAACGCTAAATCGATGCTCACACAAGGAGAAGGAGAGCTTGCGGCCGGAGGTGTAGGTCGCGCGCACGTCCTCCATGGGCTGCCAAAGACGCGCCCGGCGCCCTCGCCCGCTTCGCGACCGCCGCCTACTTTTTGGTTGCATGCTGCTGCGGGCGCGCGGGCAGAACTCTCTTGCAATCTTCTTGCTGCTACGTATGTAATGTGTGGCGGCGGTGGGGCGGTCTGGGGCTTAGGCGGGGTCGGCGACGCTGGTTGTTGCTTTTCGGCGGGGTGGTTATAGTATGACTTACGGTTGCCCATGGCCGCCTGCCGGGCTGGGGTCCGACGAAGGGGGGAGGAGGTGGCCTCGACCGAAGTGGAAGAGGATCGGGGAAAACGAGCGCGACCTGCGCTGATCACAAGCGCGTGGGTGAGGCAGAGCGCGTTGGGTCGTTGTCCGTGGGATTGCATGCGGCGAGCGAGAAAGGACAGGCCAAAAAATTTTACCTTCTCCCAAAAAGATAAGACCGGGTACATCTGGGGCACCGCCATGCATACAAAGCAAGCAAGACCCCAGCAGCATGCACACACGCGTACTCGCATGCGTGCCGACCATCATGCTAATAATTAGGCACCGGCTATGCATGTTGAGAATCCACCATCCCTTGCTACGCGCCACCGTCCATTTACATGCCGCGTACCATCAGAGGCACCGTACTTCATTTAATGCGTCCACTTGCTTCACATGGCCGGTTATGACGCGTTTCATCTGAGCCATGAAATTTTGATCTAACACACCAGCTAAAAAAAACGTACGTGGACTCTGGGAGGCCACCGATTCGGCGCGCCATATATCTTTAATAGGAAATATTTACCCATGTATTTTTTTAGAATTACACAGTACAACGCAGACGCCCACAATACGCATGCACACTCACTCCTATGAACACACGTACGCAAACCTATCCCTATGAGCACTTCCGAAGGACTGAGCCGGCAGATCTTGAGATTCACGAAATCATTGTATCTGAAAAATCTTACTTATATCATCCTAGTAAATATACACGTGCGGCACGCATATATCTATAAAAAACTATTTTAAATACAATGAAAATATTAATTGATATGTCATCAATAATTTCTTTAAATACAAAAATAGGATACTGAATTATTTATTGGATCTATAAAATATTAAAGAAATTTATAAAATTATATGAACCAGCCTAGTGGAGCTGTTGTCGCTTGTTCACGGATGCAAAAAAAAAAAAAATCTGAATTAGGGATTGCGGACCAAGCTGTGCTTTATATGATGATTTCATATATATTTTTCCTAGCCCTAAAAGAATCTAGGAGTAGACGGTGTTGTAAACATTACATAACATGACTTCAATGATATAAGATTATACACGTACAAGCAACATAGTGGATTAGGACTTTATTAATGATGTATAAGATTGTACGGTAAATCGGCATATGTAAAATAACGTGACTTAAATAAATAATCCAGAGAGGGAGGTTTTCAGGGGGGGGGGTTTAGCCTGGTCACCGCCACCACCATGGCGGTGCCACCACCACTCCTGTCCAGTGACCAACATATAGTTTTTTAGCCATTGAAAAGTGACCGTTGGAGCACCGCCGGGGCTTGTCCGGTGCCACACCGACCTGTCCGGTGCCCTCGCAAAAAACGCTCCAAAGGGTATAACGGCTAGTTTTGAGTGTGGGCTTATAAATAGAGGTTGTGGTCGGCCATGGTCTCTTGGCACTTCTTACACCTGCATACACTCTTTGGGAGCTGAGCAAACACAATCCACTCACTTGCATACTTGATTTCATCATTTGAGTGAGATTGGAGAGCCTCTAGTACATTGTATAGTGGTCTTGCATCTTATGGCACTAGTTGGATGATTTGGGCTGGTGAAGATCTTATTACTCTTGGTGTTTGCCGACACCTAGACGGCCCCGTGATTGAAGGATCGTGGAGCGGCTATTGGTGATTGTTGCCGGCTTCGATTGAAGTGATTGTGAGGGGTTCTTGAGCCTTCCCGTGGAAGATCACGAAAGGCATCTCTAGTGGATTGCTCGTGACTTGTGGATTCCCATCTTATGTTGGTTGTGCGGCACCCAGTTGCGGGTTAGGCGTGTGAGGCCTTTTAGCGCGTGAACCTCCAGGTGGGTGAATCGCCACAACAAGGACATAGCTTGCGGCAAGCAAGTGAACCTTGATAAAAATCTTGGTGTCATCTCTTGGTAATCATTATGATTGATCATTATCTCTTGCCACGACGGTATAACCATCTTGCCTATCTCTTGTATTTACATTCTAATGTAGCTAAGCTCTTTAGTGTAATTAGTTTGAGAGCTAGCTTGTTTGTTGAGTAGTTTGGTTAGTGGGGACTCTTTAGTCTAGTCTTTGAGAGCCCACTAACTTAGCTTTTAGTGACATA